GAGCCGGCCCCGCTGCAGCTCCCGGATCTCCTCCCCCTCTCCCCCCACCACCCGGGCTCTGTAGTTTCACGTCCTTTTTTGAAAGGCTCCAGATTGCAAAGTTCTTGAGACTGAGGGAGACCCCTCGGGTCCTCCCTGGAGCGCTACCCTCAGCCAGAGCAGGCTGGGCTGGGGGTACAGGCTTCCCTGTCTCTCAGGGGTTGACTCCCCTTCCCCCATTGCTCTCACTATAACGGGGTTCTCCCATTAGCCCGGCTCTCCTGTCCGTTCAGGTTAATAATGATCATCTCAGCGTTAACTGAGCAGGCTGAGTCTCCCTTTCTTTTGGGAAATCCCATATTTCTCCCTCTCTCCGCTGCCACGCTCCATCTCACCTTGGCTGCCTTTCCGTGGTGCTGTGTGTAGTTTGTGAAGACCTTCAGCATCCTCCAGGGTGCCGCCGGGTGCTTCATAAATGTACATTTTCAATCATCTCCTGGTGTTGGTGTTTCCAAATCTCTAGTGCTGTGACTTTGCAGCGGGTCTCGATATCTTCATTTCAAATCTGGGTGACACTTACAAACGAATGGCCTGTTTTTTCAGCAGTGTCTCACCTGCAGGCAGCTCCCCTTGATTTCAGTGGCAGCTGCATATGCCCAGCAGCTCAGAAAATCCAGCTATAAAACTATTGTAAAGTCTTCAGAGCAGAGCCCTTATGTGTCTGTACAGCACGCAGCATGATGGGGCACAGGTCCGTGACAGGCTCCGAAGCACTGCCACAATACGACTAATGCTATTTAACGCTGATTAAAACATTCTTGTTCAGCATTTTAGTTGCTCTCTTTTGATTTTGGCCTATGTATTAATTGTAACCATTGCTTGATATTTTCTGTAACCACTAATGCTGATTTACATCTCTTCCAGAAAAACACTTGGTCCTCCTTCGAGATGGTAGAACACTGATAGGATATTTACGAAGCATCGATCAGTTTGGTATGTGATCACATGGCCTCGCTCTGAGCCCTCTCTGCCTCCTTCAGCAGGTTTTCCTTCCCATTATCTACATCTTTAATGATGGTATTTTTAAAATGTCTACTTTACCATAAATCCACTGTTTAAAATTCTCCAGTAGACAGTGCAGAAAGCTAGTATTCCATGTGTGATGCATGTGCGTCACAAGCCTTTGACCTGTGACAAATAGAAACATTCTTGGAAAAGTTACATTTGCCAAACCCAGTCCATGAGGTGTGGAGGGAGGTGAGGAATGCTCATTGTTAGTAATCAGCATTGGTTTCCATGGAGAAGCTTGCTGACTGATTTTAAAGCAGCTATTATTCTAAGTGCTGTAGAGGGAAAAGGGAGGAAATTTCACTGTGTGTGTTTGACTTTTAATTCTCCCTGTGTGCTCAGATATTTTCCAGCTCTATTTTGGTACGTGGCCACCCCTTCTCGATCGCAAAGACATGCATCTTGCATCAGAACTTGATAGCTCTGAAAATGCTTCTAGCTTTCAAGTTGTCCGTTAAAATGTTTTATCGTTTCAAGACTTTCTTAGCTCACCGCTAGGGGGAGCCAGACACCTCCCAAACAGTGCTTTAAGAATGGAGAGGAGCCAAGCGGCACATAAATATTTATGATGCTGGTGAAAACTATCTACCCAATGATGCCCTTGGCAGGAAAGAGGGAATGCCTTGGATGGGGCTCTTGGTGTACATTTTGGAGGGGAAGAGGGCTTATAAAGATAGTAACTTGATAAGGATCGGAAATAATCCATGGGTTCCAGCATTGTGTAAATGTGTAGAAGATACAGTGGTGGTGAGTCTGGGCTGTATGTCCAGCTGATGTCAGAAATTTAGCTGTGCTGCGGCCTCTTTGGATACATCTACACTGCAATTTAAGCTCAGGGTTAGTGGGACTCGAGCCAGCTGACCTGTGTTAGGGAACCCTGGGTTTGTGTCTACGTTGTATTTTAACCTCGTGTTAAGTCTTTTCTAACCCATGCTATGGCATCCACATGCAGACCCGAGTCAAAGTAACCATGTCCCTAGGGTCCCAGTGTCCCCTTCCCCCCCCCCCCCCCCCCCCCCCCCCCCCCCCCCCCCCAAATGTGTCTGCTCTAGCCCTAGGACCGTGGTGCACTGTGAGAAAAGTTTACTGCCCACCCTGCATGTACCAGGAAGGAGCTCGCTTTGCAAAAGGCTTGATCAATTCGCTCTCCGTTGCGAACCCCGGAGGCTCTCTGACAGCGTGTTTGCAGATCAGAGATTAGAAGAGAATGGGTTAACGCTGAGTCCTGAGCTGCTAGCATTTGCAAAGCGTAGGGGCTTTCCTTTTCAATAGAGTGAATTGCAGATTGTTGGGATAGAGGACTAAGGAAGTTGTCCCATGGAATTGTGGGATACTTCCAGCTGACTCCTGGGACCCACGTCAAGTGATGCTGCATCTACACTGCAAAGCAATAGGACTCAGACCCTGGTGCTTTAAGCAAGGTAACTACTGTGTTACTTGAGCTTTCCAGTAATAGGAGCAGTATAACAGGATCTATGCTACCTTCCCATGTGTAGACAAAGCTGTATGACATGGCTGTGGCAGATTTTAATCTGTGTATAGACCGGAAAATACAGGCTGTTGCCATCTCTTAACTCAGGTAGATTCCTAGGCTAAAATATGGTTCTCTAGTACTATAACAGGCTCTTCGGTCACAGAGGCAAGGGCAAAGATGTGGTATAAAACGGTTCTGCCCCAACCTTCCCCACACCTGGTTATTTTTGCAGTGTGGACAGGGCCTTTAGCAATATTGGTTTAGAATGAGTTTAGAGCCGAGTGAGTGCTACAGCATGGGACATGAGGTGACTCCCGGGGAGCGGGTGGGGTGCACACTGCTGAGATGACATCTCACACCGTGCCCATTCCTGCTTTGCCAGGCTTGTGAGTCAAGAGATTTTCAGGGCATTGCGCCTGATCTTTAAAGCCCTGAACGAGCTAGGTCCATGCTGTCCCCCATGTCCAGCCCTGGCAGAGAGAATTGCCAGGTGTGCTGCAGCTGGAGTGGCTCCCAAGGTGGAACTCTTTGGGGTAGGGGGCCGGGCAGTCTCTGTGGAAGGCTGCAGAGTTTTCTGCCAATGGAGATCAAGATGAGTCAGTCTCACTACTTTGAGGGTGCAGTGCAAGGTCTGTAGGTCTGCCCAGCAGTGGCAAAGCGCTGTGCAGACACAACAGCACTGTGCAGGTTAGCTGGGGAGGATCTTTATCCCCACTTCACTGAAGCACACAGGGGACGTGACTCACCCAAGGGCTTGGCTCCCTGCGTCGCTCTCCAAGCTGGGCCACTACAGATGGGACATGGAAGGCAACCAGCCAAGTTGACCCTGTTTGTGTGTTTGGCTGAAACGAGGGAGCGGTGGAGTGTTTGCGTTAAATTTTGGACAGAATTCAGTGCCAGGCTTGGTTATGTGTGCAGAGCCTGATCCTTCTGTTGACGTAAATGGAGCATGATCACCCGAATGGTGCTTAGATACAGTGATGGCTGTTAATGACACGTAGCAATCCATAATCATAAGGGTGGGCAGAGCAAGGGATTAGGAATGCATAGGCTTAGGGTGCTGAAATTACATTTTTATCACAAAAAGCAACCAGGAGACCATTTTACTGCAAGATCTCTGAGCAAAAGCAGTGAAACAGAAAATCTCCACTTCGGTTAAAGACAGTGACTTAATTGTGAACAGCAAGTTTGGATCTGATGAGCTTCCTGTTTCATTTGTTTCCTGTGTGATCTTGTTGGGTGTAATAGATGCATAATCTAGAATAATAGTGCTGATTTCTTGTCATGTGCCTGTCATAAACAGTATTGCACATTTCCTCAATTCCAAACAATCAAGGCTTAAAAGCACTGATGGGTATAAAGTGGTGTGACTTGAAGTCTGAATTTAAACCTTGTTTGTGTTGTGGTTTTTAAATAACTGTGTGTGTGTACTCCTCATGGTTAAGAGCTGGCATTATAAACATTCTTATCTGCATAATCTTTCCCCTTGAATTTATACGCATGGTGGTGTCTGGTTTTCTTCAAGATAAGATAGTTTAAGGTTTAGTTTACCAGATTCTGGGTTTTATATATGCAGCATTTGGTTGGTAATAAAAAAAAAACAAAAAACAACCCTTTAATAAACTATGGTTAATTTAAAAGAACATGTCAAGATGTTCTTACTTTCTATGGTTTGTTAAAGCCTCTTTTAAAAGCTGGCTAATTTATCGTCCCTTACTGATAGAGAGAGAGAGAGAGAGAGAGAGATTTTTGGCCTGCTTTTAATTGGCAAATGCTGACCTCTCTTCTCTTTCTGTGGATGTTGACTGAACAATTGTATTGAGTCTAGGACAACTGCAATTTAAATAGTCACTTAAGATGAAACATCTTGGTCTTTGCCCCAGAATCAACAATTGAGTCAGTACAGCTCCAGGGACCGTGTGACATTTAATTGCTGCTGCAGATGGAGCACAGTGTTTGTATTCTTATGGCTTGTACAAACACCAGTGTCTTCAACTTCACAGCGATCCATAGATCTACCAATTAAAATATTGAGACTTTGCAACGTTTTTCCCTTTCGGATTCTGACTGACTTCCGTCACATTTGACCCTGAAAATGTGGAACGTGAAGTTCAGTGTTTCAGGAAAATAGGATTAGGATAGGAAACCTCTAACCAAGACACATGTCATAGCTTCAGGAAGTGGAGCCAGTGACTAGCTTCCCTCATGACTAGTACCTTGTGTGGTGCTGTACTGCTCGTGGTGCAGTGCTCTTGGGTGGGACTTCGGTACGTGAGACTTGTGCTCATTAAAGAGCTGTGGTGCTTCTTGTAAGAGTAGGTCTTGAGCCCAGAGCCCTTGCAGCCTATTTTGGTTCCCTTGCAGAGGGGGTCTGGTGCCTAACCTAAGGGACTGGATGTCAGGTGACCTGCATTCTGTTCTGTTTCTGCCACTGACACTTCCCCTCCCTGTGCCTGTTTCTCCTCCCAGCCCTTGTCTTGTCTATCAAGGTCTCATGCACACGTGAAAGTAAATTCAGATTAAGGTAGGGTGTGAATTTAAAGCAGATTAACTATTCCTGATTAACTCTGTGTGGACACTCTTATTCTGGAGTGTGAATAGCTAATTCTGATAGTGTGTCCTTTAATGGAGTTAAGAAGAAATCCCCTTATAGATAAGACTTAGTCTGTAAGCTTTTCAGGGCAGGGACAACCTCCCATTCTGTCTGGACAGTACCTAGCCCAACGGAGCTCCAATCTCAGGTGGGGCCTCTAGGTGCTATGCAGTACTGCAAATGGATGCAGTATTGTGTTAAATCGGTTCCACCCCAGCAGCAACTGCACTGAAGTGGTGGGTGAAACTCAACTGCCCTTTGCTAATATGCTCAGGGATCCTGGGTGCTACTGAAGCATGAGCATTAGGGCGGCTTTGCAGTGCATTTGCAGCCTCTCTGCTTTGGGTTGGGACCACGACACTGTAGCCTCATTCAGACAAAGTCACAAAGGAGTCTGTTTTCTTCCTCCCTTGAAAACTACAGCGAACTTGGTGTTACACCAGACGGTGGAGCGCATTCACGTGGGCAAAAAATATGGCGACATCCCTCGAGGCATCTTTGTCGTGCGAGGCGAGAACGTTGTCCTGCTGGGGGAAATAGTAAGTAAACCTCTCGTCTGTCGCTGTGCTGGAGTGCGGGCTCCCTTGCTGCCCGAGAGTGTAATCTCAGTTACTCTGAGCAGCATTGCCAACAAACCTGACACTGGAGCCAGGTCTCGTCAACAATTGGCAGTGTGCGGGTCCCTTCCGTGTTAGTGATGATATATGTGTGCTGTGAAATGGTCACAGTGCCAGAGAAGCAAGCACAGCGGGAATTATGTAACCTTTTACCCTGGCTCATGGAATGTGCCGTTATGTAGGCAAAAGGGCCGACCCTGCGATCGAGGGTCCTGAGCTTTTATTGTCCCTTCAGTACTGTAAAGAGCAACATGGTGCCTTCCTCTAGCTGCTCCTGGGGGTGGGGTAATGCAAAGATTTTGGTGCAGGTTAGTTCATCAGAGCCAAGTGGGAAAGTGGGCACCCACAGAAGCTTTGAGACGTTTCCCACCAACTCCAAGGGTAATGTGAGCCTGCAGCACAGGATATGTTTGGAGGAATCTGTAGTGGTCTCAGCCTGAAGGCAGTATTCCAGGTGCAGCATGGTCAGTGCCATGCAGAGCAGCTGTCATCTCCCTCCCCCTCCTCGCCCAAAAAACCCAACAAAATTGCCTTTTTCCAATTTCAGATTTCCTTTTGCAATTTCCCACATGCATCCTTGTCTTTATGGGTGTTTGCAACACCTCCGAGCTCTGCATTGCCTGTGATTTCAGGCTGGGGTCTTCAAGGAAACGTAAGGAGTAGGCGCCCAAATCCCATTGTGATTCATACGTATCTTTACGCTTTGTGGCTTTCTCGAGTGAAACTTGGGCATTTAAGAATCAGCATCCCAGAGCTGGGATGAAACATTGAGCTGGCTCCCATCTGCCCTTGGCATGGGGGGAGTTGGGTGTATCCTGGGAGACAGATCCTGCCATGGCTCAGCTTCTCTGATAGAGCAGGCCAATGAACCTATCAATGGGCAATGCTAGGTTATCCCAGCCAGAAATATCTAGCAGCTCCTCTGGGGTCTGTGAGCATAAAGCCCTCTTCAGAGTCCATAGCATATGCCCAGGCATCTCTAAAGTGCAAGTGTGTAAGATTTCTGTTCGTACCCTTATGACTCTGATTGCAGACACGTCTTCCCAAAAACCTCTCTGGTGTGGGTCTGCCCTGACCATTCAGAGCATCGACAAATCGTACATCTGATCCTTACCAGCTAGTGGCAGCTTTGAACAGTGTTGCTCCAACAATTTGCAGTCTGCAAAGGTGGAGCATGGATTGTTTGTTTTCCTCCTTTCTTGTGCTCCATTCTAAGGAGACAGTGTCAGCTGCAGCATTTCCCCCCTCCTTGGGAAATGTTAACCCCAGTACTAGGCACATAGTGGGTCCTGCATCAAATGCCTCAAATTGCGAAGAGGAGAGGGGTGAGTACTTGAGACATCCAGCAAGCCCAGTGAGATTCTTGGAGTGTGAGCAGATCCCGAGCGCTGTGACCTCAGCTATGACACTTTTCTGGTTTTGTTATGAGAGCAGAACATAATAGATTAATTGTGAAGCTGCTAAGGACCAATTAAAACGAAACCTCAGTGATGTACCACATTGAGTGCACTGGGTTCATGCCCTCCAGCACAATGTTCGTACTGAGTGAAAGTAGAGCGCTCCTGCTTCTCATAAACTGAATCCCTCCATCCCCTTTGGGATCACGTCTCCTCTCTGACCTGAGGTGATTGTGTAAGCTAGGGAGCTGGGGCCGCATGGATGTGCTGGCTGCCGCTTCCCGCAACTCCGGGCTGTGCCTGCGGACAGTCAACGTAAACAAACGTCTCGCAGCCCGCCAGCACATTACCCTGATGGGCCACATGCCGAAGGTTGCTGACCCCTGCTCTAGGGCAGTGCTGGAAATCCTGGGACTCATATCCTGTCCCGTGCATCTGCATTGTGAATTGCTGCTCAGCGGAGGGGCTGCCTGGGGACACATGGATTCTTGACCAGGGTTGTTAATGTGCTGCTTGTGGTCCAGGCAGTGCTGTGTTAAGCACTTTCAGTAATGTGACCGGTGATCAGGGCAAGCAGAGCCTCAGATCTCACTGCTAGCTCCCTCCTGGCAACCCTGAATGGTGCTTCTTTTGCAGGACCTGGAGAAGGAGAGTGATACGCCTTTGCAGCAGGTGTCGATCGAGGAGATCCTGGAGGAACAGCGAGTGGAACAGCAAGCCAAGCAGGAATCGGAGAAGCTGAAAGTGCAGGCACTTAAGGAGCGGGGCCTTTCAATCCCGCGGGCAGACACTCTAGATGAGTATTAGGTGTTCTGCCCATCGGACAATTCGCTCTGTCCGAGCAAGCAGAGCGCTTTGCGTTTAGACCACACTTGGCCAGAGGCTGTGTAGGTCTGTTTGGAAAGGCTGTTTTTTGTTATTTTGTTTTAATTTTGGCTTATCTGTTTTCCATGGCACAGATACACTATTAAAATCATGTCATTGTTTTCACAAAATCACTGTTTATGAAGAATGAAGGTGTCTGAATAGCCTTTAACATACCCACATGCGATGGCGCAGTTTAAAGCGTGTGTGCATGGAGAGAAATCTTTTTTCCTTTCTCCCCCTCCCCCCCCCCCAAGTGATTTTGGGGAAAACTGCTCCTCAACATGTAAATAAAACCTGGATCCTGACAATGTAATCAATAGTGACCTGTACTGGAATCTGCTTTTTCTGGGCTGTATCTATATGGAACAAACAGAACGTGGTACTGATCACAAATGGGATCTTACGCCCCCACTGCTCCCTTCTAACCTAGAGGGTTTCTCGCATCAAAGTCCAGGGAGGGCTGAGGAACCAATGCAAACTGGAGCATGTTTCCTTCTGGAGGGGGTGGGAGTGGGGCACTTCCTGGTTAGCAGCAGAAAGCTGGAGCCTGTTGCTCTGTGTATTTCTAGAGGGAAGAGCAGGAGTCTGCTTTCACTGGTGGTAGCATAAATGGCTGGTGGTAGCATAAATGTGTCTGATCCTACAGTATTAGTGGACAAGTGACTCCAGTGGGAGTGGTTGTCCAGCTAACCCTCCTTGTCTCTGACTGTGCCCTTGCAAGTATGAACCATCCCTTCGTCATTAAATCAGGCTCTGTAACAGACAAGACAAAGAATCCACTAGCTCTCTCCATTAGCTCCCTCTCACCTGGTTCTGCTGGGTCCACCCTACTTCTTTCCTCTTAACAAGAAGCTGGAATAGGTTTTGCTACACATGATGCCTACCTGCCCAGAGCAGGCACTAGAATTAGCTTGCACTGGCAGAGAGGACACCTGTCTTGATGCTGAATTGGCCAGAATGCTCTGAGATATCTCAGGTTGTATCACTCAGCATGTCAGTGATGTTACAAGACCTCATCCACCCTGCAGCAAATGGTAACTTGACAGCAAGAATAAGCTGGGGGCTGCTTGTAAGGCTCTTCACTGTGATCTCACAAAGGTAAAACTAGCTTCTGGTGCAGTGAAATGATCAGTTCTTGCCTCCCCCTTGAGCTGCTTCTCAGAGGCTTATGTGCTCTTCCTCTGGAGGGGCATTAGAGCTGGAAGACTTATTTTATTCATGGAGGTAAATGTGTGATGCAAACTGATTCTCATCCCCTTCACTGGGAACTGTGTAGGCACTGTGCACAGAGCTTCCCGTGAGAGGACTTCATGGTATCGTGTTAAAATCAGTCTGGTCGTGAGAGTTACTGTAGTTGCCGCTCTGCCCCTCTCCCAGTGCTTGTGCTAGAACAATCCAGCAGCATCAGATGTTCAGCCAAGTGACCGTATCAACCTGTATAGATGACACCTGAACCACTCTCTGTGGCTACTGTCCAACCTCTGAAAATGCTCTAGGGAAAATAATAGGTATGGGAGATATTAAAAGTATAAATTAAAGGTATAAATTACTTAAGCAAATGCAAGTATCAGAGGGGTAGCTGTGTTAGTCTGGATCTATAAAAAGTGACGAGTCCTGTGGCACCTTATAGACCAACAGATGTATTGGAGCATAAGCTTTCATGGGTGAATACCCACTTCGTCAGACGCATGCAAATGCAGGTTTTTTTGTTTTTTTTTTTAATAAACATTTTCTTTATCTACATCTCAGAGCTTGGGCAGCACTACTGAGGCTGCCCTGTACCATAAGCTATGCACCATACACAAACTCAACAGGGACTGCATCAATTCTAAACCATGCTTAACCAGTGGGAAAAAGTTCTTCCAGCTTTGGAGACTTTCAGTGAATTCTGCAGCCTGTGAAGTACAATTCTACAAAGAAAATAGCCTATTTTTCCCCTCCAGTAGGGCCTAACTATTGCTTTCTGTGAGCATAACAGCTCCTGCTTTGGAGAGCGCTAAGGATCGTTTTCCTCCTGTTTTGTACATGCTCAATTATTCTGTGGCACTCCAGGCCTTCGGACACTGAGGCGGAAGAAAATTTAAGAAAGGATGAGGCAAATTATAGCATTTGATACATTTCTTTACTTGTGTTACTTATCTACCTGCATGGTGAACAGTGAGAATTCAAAAAATCACATGGTTGTCACACCCGCCGGGGGTTATTTTATTGCAATTCTGTCATCTTGGCAAAGGAGAAATCCATGAAGTAGGTTTTATTTGCATGTTTCATAGTGCTGCTGGGCGTAGGTCTCAAACACTGCAGGGAAATGTTTTCAAATAAATAGCTGTTTTGTTTGGAATATATTGTGGAAACATTTCTGTCCATTTATGCTTCATCTCCATGGATTATATGGGTATAACACCCCACTTACTGTGGTAGAAGAGTGGCTTTTTCTGTGTAGATTAAACCTGTTCCCAAACAAGACAAGCTAAACTGAAAATAGGCACTCTTATTTCAAAATTAGGAGTGTCCAGACTGGTATAACTATATTGGTTTAGATTTGCAACTGATGTTATACTCAAAACACTTCCCCAAATGCACAAAGCTTTAGATGATGGATCTTTTTAAGGTGCAAGTGTTCTTTCCAGTTCCATGGGAACAGATTAACAATGTGCTTAAAGTAAATTTGGTTCTCATTGGATACACTTTACATATAATTTGTTTATGGCAGATATCACCTATCAGGAGATTCTAGAGTTCAGGTGCACTTTGGGAATAAAATAAATATAGCTCTATAATTGTGGCTAACACCATCCTTCTGAGGTCCAAAGAATTGCTATTACAATTTGGCCATGATGCTAGGATTTAACACATCGAGTCCTGTGAAAAATGCCATAGCCTCTTTAATAGGCAGGTTTTGAAATGAGCTCCTATGAGCATATCAAACCCCTTTCTGCACTGTGTGCCATATGCTAAATCTTGTGTGTGAGATTCCTGGGGTCATAGGCAATGAAGGTGGAGACGACCAAGTAAATCATGTATCCCAGGCACCTTTGTGTTCACTGCTGCCTTTATTTCTTCATGGCACTCTATATATTTCACCCGTACTAAAGCTTCCTCTTCAGCATTAATTCCCTTCCCCTTCTCAGCCCTGTTTACATCCTCTTGTGCCATCCTAAGCAATCCTGTCTCAGTGGTCCTGGTTTGGCTATTGTGTCTTCAGAGGACAAGCGAAGACCTTCAACTGCCTGTGGAGTTGAACAGTGTGTCACGGGTAGTGTGTGCAGCCTTTTCCATGGCTCCTAAACTCCCTCACTTAGGAGGAGCCAGTTTGGGGATGGTAGGCAGTACCAGCTGGGTTAGGCTGAGAGCTAGGGAACGTAGCAAAGCCACTAGGTCTGTCTGTGTGTCCAGCTGCCTTCATTAAAACAAATAGAAACTTCCGCATAGTATTGATTACAGGGGAGTGCTGTCTGTTCTCTTGCTGTGAGGGGATGCCATACGCTGGCCCTGTTAGTACATATCAGAATTCCTGGCCCCGCACAGCACACAGCCTAAAGCACCCTTTCAAAATGGTCTGCCTTAGACATGAGGAACTGATCCGGCAGTTGGGCATTTCTTTCCCCGCTGCCCTGGGAAGGCTGGGTGAGAAGATTTTGGGCCTGCCCGGGGACGTTGTCAGGTGACATGGTCTGGGTGTGCACTACACAGCCCCCACCCACACTCCAGTACTGTGTCCAGTACAGCTGGGACCTCCCCTCACCTGCCACACTGGGACAGCCGGTCCTGGCTGGAATGGGGTAATCCTGTATGCAAACCACAGACAAATATAGGTAAGGGGAAAAGCCATTCCCAGCCTGGGGTGGTTAGCTACGTAGAGCCAGCCTGTGCAGGCTGTGTGGGGGGAGAGGTTTCTGCCTTATCCCCATAATAAATCACAGCACTGGGAATGCAAAAGTGCAAATAAGGGGGGGAGGTAGTTGAACTACGTTACCCAGGATGCATTTGTGATTCCAGGCTTTATATTTCTGGGGGGAGGGGGGAGTTACATAAATCCTTGTGCGTTGGTCATCTGGCCCCGCCCTATGGAACGTCAGCGGTGCTAAACCCAGCCCCCATGGAACGTTTTGTAGCCAGTCAGTTTCAGATTGCTATAGTCTGTTCTATTCCATGCTATTTCCTGCTGCTGGGGGATAAAGGATCCCAGTCTTCTCCTTCCCCGTCGTGGGGAGCTGGATTTACACTGGGGGGGTGGGGGAAATCCTGAGCCCCTAACCTGCCCTGGACTCAAGGGACTGGACCCCAGCATCCTCCCCTGGGGGTGCGGGGTGTTTTTTCCCCAGCGTTGATGACCCCCGTGCCCCCAAACTCCGTTCAGGGGGCTGTTCTCACGAGCCGGAGATCCCGTTCCCGGGGTGCGGGGGGGCTGGGGAGGAGGTGGAGGGGAAGGAGCCGCGGGGAGTCCTGTATCCTGGATTGCAATCGTTCTAGGAAGGATCCTTTCCTCTTTTGGGGTTTGTGCTGCTGCCTCTTTACCACCAAAGACTCCGGATCCTGGCCTCTGTGACTCTGAGTGACTCCTCTACAAGAAGACAGGAGGGTTTTGATTGTTTGTTTGTTTTTTGGGGTGTGTGTTTGCTACATTCATTTTTTGGGGGGGGGTTAGCCACCTGGTAGACTGCTCTCGAGGACACAGCTGCTCCTTCCTTTTTCCATCTCTTTCCTCTTCTTCCCCCTGCAACATATTCAAATCTGGATCACTATGGAGCTGGAGAATATTGTGGCCAACACAGTCCTGCTGAAAGCCAGAGAAGGTAAGAGAATAACTTGGGACTTGGGTCATTTTGGGTGTCTCTGAACATGCCTTGACACCGTGATTACCAGAAGGAAATTGGGAACAGGGAGTGAAGCATCTGCTGCTTTATTGCTGTTCGCTTGATTTTACTGAGTGAAAGCAAACTGTGCCCGGGGAGGGGGGAAGGGGTGTGTGAGAACAGGATATTTTGTAACCTGAAATGCAGCTGTAGGAAACGGACCTGGAAGCTGGGATTTAGTGGGTTTCCTCAGTAGTTCCCCAAGATGCTTTATAATTGCAATATTTAGCATTTATAGCTTCATTTACAAAACATCCTCTGGTGTTTTCACC